GATATAATATGAAATAATTGAGGATTTCTCCGTAAATTTGTCTTATCAACCTAATCACAAAGTCTCTGCAATTTGATATATTGTCTGTCGCGGAAGACATCATCCTCAAATCACAATATAAACTAAGAGATATCTCTGAAACTGATACTGTCATGTTGGGATCACTTTAAAACACCTTAATCATAATTTGCAATCCTCACAAACTGAGTAAGCAGAATAGAAAATGCATGATTATTTGTTTACATTATATAGTACATCATTATAAAATCGTGCCGCAAAAACGTATTAAATTCCATACAACGCGCCTTTGTCGCCGTCAACACATTGTCATAGAGGATAAATAAATATTGTTTATCTTTATCCAGTCCACGTTCTCATTTTTTTATCTCTAAGTTGTGTGTGGCGAGTGTATCATGTTGATTTAATAGGTGAAGAAGTCACAGAGGAAAGAAACCTTCCCTCGAGGTTAATATGATTCAAGAATTGCTGATTTATTTTACTCAACATTTGCATAAATGGTTGAAACGTGTAACAAAAGAAGAAAGTCGCCAATTTCTCTCCACAGGAAGGAGAGGTAGATTACATGAAAATACCAATTCAATTGTATGGTGTTTCGTTGGTTTATGACTCTTTTTCTTCCTTAACTCCTTCTGCACGCCACGTTTCCACCATAACGAGGACACTTTTGCAAAAATATACGTTTCGGCAGGCAAAAAATTCACGATACCAACCAAAAATGAACATAAAACATCTGCCAAGAAGATACGATATAAAATATTTCATAATTGAAGAAGTTCTACGACACTTTTTCAGAATTCAAAAATTATCATAACAACAATTCCATTTCTCACAATTGAAATAAGACCATACTGTAGTTAGCGAACTTCTTTAAGAACTATTCGTTGATAGTCTTAGGTAGACTTAAAATAGACTGTCTTGTCAGCTGTTACACGCTAGAAATGCATGTGGATTCCAAGAAAGGTCAGATGATTATATTTTATACCACCATAAAGAATTCTCATGAGTTTCTCAGAAAATTGTTCGTTGTTTATAACCTAATTTATCATTAAATTTACTAAATTCCCACCATTAACTGAACATTTGTGAGTCAATTTATTTATCGAAATGTTTTTGCAATTCTTTCTCAATGAACTGATGTTCCTATTTCACGCTTTTTTCATATACACTGCGTCATGCATTATGAATGGCTTTTAAAATACACACACCCAAACCAAACAAATCGATTGCAATTTTTATTCTCCACTCAACCAAACCACAATTAAATAATAATAAAAACATTTTGATGGAAGTTCAATAAAATTTAATACTCGCAAAACCGACATCGGATGTAAAGTGACATTGTCAAACAATTTTAGAGCGACTTAATAGCTAAACGATCAAAGCGAAGCTGAATTCCATTATGCCCCTCTTCCCTCATTCCAATTACATCTTCACATGTCACATCCATCATATCGACCACCCCAAAGCATTTCATGACAAAATTGCAATTTAAACTATGTAACACGAGAGACGGAAAGAATGCAAACTTTGTGTGCGCCAATGAAAATGTAACAGGACATGAAACATCTGCTGAGGGGAGTTTTTCGAAAATGATGCAGTCGCTCTTCTTGGTGGCGATAAAAATTTTCTGCATTACACTCAAATATGTGTTATATAAATGTCTGTGCACATTTCATTCGCGGAGACAAAGTAATGCAGTAGAACATTTTCCCCATGTCGCATGAATGAAGCAGTGTGCCTATTGATAGACTAAACATTTTCCACCAAGTTGATAATTTTCCACTCGCTCTGCTGCTCTTTATCAATAGCCAAAGCAACCACATATGCGTTGATTTTATCAATGAAACTTGTGTACAGCATTAAATTTATATTTTCACAGCAGGTGTTTTTCCTCGCTGGAATATATATTCCTCAAATGGCTCTTTATATCATTCAATTATTCCATTAATAACCACACTTCTCAGAAATTCATCGATTTCGGTGTGACAATGAATACCATCGCTCTTCATTTAAGTAAATTGAAAGTCACTTTTCTTCTAATACAACGTCAGTCTCATTTGCGATGATAAAATGTTCACTTCAAGGCTGTGACGTGCCGTGAGTTTTTGGCGCCAGCAAAGAAATGACCTAAAATGCTATAAAACCATTTTGCAAACGTATTTCATCGACAAACTAAGACAGAACTTTTTTCTACAGATTCTGGAAACGCATTTGAAATTGTCTAAATTCACCACTATAATAAGTGTATTTAAAGACACTTCGTGATTAACGATTCTCTCCGGCATTAATCAATATATGTATAAAAGTGAATTAATTAGCTTTTATGCCCACACCCAAGCGACACCACGCAACATCCTCTTTGTATATGGCTTGGCCCAATCTAATTACAATTTCTTGTGCAATAAAATTATTTATTAACACATCCACCACATCAGGACACAGCGGAGAATTTCTCCGTCCCTCCCGTCACTGTGCTTCTGTCCGCAATTCGCGATAATTTTATTAAATAACACTCTGTTCAGATACGCCATCGTGTTTTCTGGTGCTTATTAATTGAATTGTTCAAATTTTCTCATTACTTTTTCCAATAATAATAATAATAACAAGGTCAGAGGAATCCAAATAGTTTACAAGAACAACAAACAAATGACCCAATTCGTGCTTCTCACCTATTCTCAACTCAATTCGATGACAATGATTTTCTTGCATGCTTTCTTCGTTCTATTATCTATGAATGTGAAATGAAAAAAAATGTTTGCCGCAAATGACCATTCCAAGAAACTCTAATCCAGTTTGCGGAATCCCAAGAATTTTCAATCTTCCCGTCAATACACTCTCTGCGGCAGACAATTCAAGGCACAAGAGGAAGAAGGAATGTTAAAAGCAATGTCTTTGCTTTACTATTTGACATTGAGAATCTTTTCAATACACAAAAAAAAAGCACAAATAAATGCCAGAAAATATGTGACAAATTGCCTTTCACGAGTACAAAAATTTTCCTAAAACTCGTCGTGATAATTGCAATGACCAACAAGAGCTCTCGAGAAGAACGTAATATATTTCTATCAGATAAGATAAAGATGAATACGTCACATCCAGATAACCACATAACTCCGCAAAAAGATATGAAAAATCCCACAATTGCCGCAGTAACTCAATAAATTGTTGAAAGCTTGTCCATCTACTCATATTAATGGACATCATTAACTATGAAGGACACACACCAAGTCATTGAACGTATTTAGTTTCTGTGTTGGCCAAAAAAAGCTCTACATTTTTACTCTAACTCACTTTGTATTTCCTGGCTTCTCATCATTGCTTTCTTGTCTGTCAGAAATGGTATCTTTTTACAGTGAGGAATGCCTTTAAAATTTTTAAATTACTCAATAGGCTTAAGATTGAATCAACAAAAGCACAGCTTGAGTCAATTCGTCTATCATTTCTGCTATTAGTATAATTGAGTTTTAAATTTATTTTTAGCACAGGTTAAGGGTTAAGAATATTGCAGACAATTTTCCGCTAAATCACCTCTGCACACACAGTCGTTCAGGGATCTTGAGGCAATTGCAAGATAGCATTTTCATGGTATCGTGAGCTTGATTAGCGTTATCTCCCATCGAGAGGCACCAATTTTGATTTGCAGATATGACGAGAGATTATGAAATCGTATTGATTTACAAGCGTGTACCCAAGCACTGAATGCCAGACAGGCTTGTCGCGCTTTCGCAGAATTCCAGCGCCACGCGAGAGATCAACAGGATGAGAGAAGGCCACAGATGTTGGCAGCCCTGCGAGGAGGTGAAGAGCCTCCAAATCCAGTGTGAAAGACACAGGAATAATTTATGGGTTGCGAGCAAGCGTGAGTTTGGTGACTGGTGAACCTTTTGTTGCTAAATTTCTCGCTCTTGCTCTTCTTCTTGGGTTGATGGGCTTGAGCATTGAGAGGGTTATTCACCGTCTGGTCGCATGAACGGGTTTCTCCATCTCACATCGGCATTCTTTTGACCCTTCACTCCTCCTCATCTTTGGCTCAAGTCCGGATTCCACGGTCTTTGGCCTGTCCTGCCGTCTAATTGCTGCGCCCCATCGCAGGGCCCCAGAATCTCCCCATCGCTATTTCACAACATTGTCCAACTCATGGGATTTTCCTTTTCCCCGACTATTTTCACTCTCACAAGAGACAGAAAGCGAGAGAGAGAGTGAGGGAGAGAGAGAGAAAAGAAAACTTGCCTTCAAATGATGCTTAAAATCGATTTGTGGCGACGAAACAACTTTCCACGCACGCTTTCTTCTACTCTTTCTCTTGGCCAACAATGAGTCCTCTATAGTCTCTTTGGCATATCCTCCAGCTGTCTCCTGTCTCCTTGAAGCACTCCCCATGGCCACATTCTGGCCAGCGGCGTCTTTTCTCCCAGTCTGCCGCCTTCTTCCATTTTTAGCCACTCCATGGAGGTCAATTGAGTTAATTTTAGCCCACCGGAAGCCTCTTATCGCCCCACTTTCTCACCGCGAGGCTCATCTGAGGTCTTCTAGACAGTCGCTCGGACAGCACACAAGCCTCCCGGACAGGGATGACAAGGACAGAGCCAGCGTGCCGACAATATGAGGCAAAAAGCGCCACGGATGCACTATCGTAATTGGATTCTCTGGATTGACGTCAGCGGAAAGGTATTTTATCAGGTGACGCGAAGACACGTTTTAGCGTCCAGTCAAAGGTCACCCGAGAAACAGGAAGTCTCTCGAGACCAACACAAAAGAGGCACAGCCCGAATCTGAGTGCAAATGTGTGGGAAGTCAGACCTCAAAGGGGGATTCCCGGACACAGACATTCCGCCCTTTTCCCCCGCAATATCACACACAATTCCCGCTGAAAATGCGAAAATTGACTCTCTACACCCCCAGGAAGGGCCGACTGCGGTGACTTTGGTATAGAATTCACGCGAAATGTGACAAAATGGCAAAAGATTAGGATATCTTACCACCACAATCGCCATACGCAAGTTGATTAGTTGTTGATGAATCTCTGCTACTCCAACACCTGGCAAACGCACACAATTTCGATGGAGGAACACAGGATGAAAAATACACCACTTGAGAATCACACTTTCCTCCTGGTTCACAAATCACACAATTTTGCACTGAAAGAGGCGAACAGCTCGACAATTCAAATGCCAATATGGCTGCAGTGGCCAAGTTCAGTGGGTCACGCCGCGAGATTGACTTCGGCTGCCACGAGCGCCACCCGAAGGGCCGATTAGCTGTCAAATTGTCATGAATCGCGCCGCAAGACCGCCAGAGGCGCCCGAGGAGTCGTGGAGGTTTTGCTCAATTTAGTACCTCAAGACTCCGCATGAGGACGTAGGTGATAACTAAAGGGACGAGAAAACAACATCTCAGTTGGGCTGGTTTTTCGAGAAATCACAGATATTGCTTTTTATTGATGCACTTTCGGTGATGAAAAAGCCACAAGATAGCTAATAAAATCCAAAATGTTCAGAAGCGCACATTTGTCTTAAATTGAACTTTTGCAAGGAACGTATGCTGATATTTTTTGTTATGTTGCAAATGATATGCGTCAGAGATTTCGCGTGTGAGAATCTCTGGTGTTGGGAGAAGTGTCTGCCTTCTGCTGGAATCCTCATTGCATCTCCATGAGAGGTATTGTGTGTTGTTTTTCTTCCGAGTGAAAAATAGCAGGTGAATAGTGTGCCAGAGTGCGATTCTTCCTCATTAATGTTCCCCACGGTGTCCAGTGCATGGAATTGTGTATGCATTTGGGGTGAAATTGAGGTGTGAAAGTGGGAAAAGCGTGTATTTTCCTCTGTTTTTGTGAGCGACAGAGAGAATGGCAACAAAACAAATGACAGTGTGAAAACTGATCTCTCGACGCTGATCCTCAAGGAAATCTGACATAAAGAGTTAAAATCCGTGTTTTCCACTGCATAAAGGTGACTATTTCGTTGTTCGGGAAGGTGAATTTTCGCGATTTTCCCTGGGGCGGAGCATGATTCCGCGAATCTAACCTAAGATTCCTCGCACCCCCGCAAATGGGTGAATTACCACTGATTTGGCTTGCTTTTCCTCACTCAAGGATTCGCCAGTATGTCGTCGACGTCGGGAAAGCGAAAAGAGATCTACAAATACGTCGCCCCATGGCCTCTCTACTCCATGAACTGGAGCGTGCGGCCGGACAAGCGCTTCCGGCTGGCGTTGGGCAGCTTCGTCGAGGAGTACAACAACAAAGTGCAAATAATCAGCCTTGACGAGGATACGAGCGAATTCACTGCTAAAAGTATCTTCGACCATCCCTACCCGACCACCAAGATCATGTGGATCCCAGACTCGAAGGGCATCTACCCAGATCTGCTGGCCACGAGCGGAGACTACCTGCGCGTGTGGCGAGCCGGCGAACCCGACTCCAGGCTGGAGTGCGTGCTGAACAACAACAAGAACAGCGACTTCTGCGCCCCGCTCACGTCCTTCGACTGGAACGAGGTGGATCCCAACCTCGTGGGCACCTCCTCCATTGACACCACCTGCACAATCTGGGGCCTGGAGACGGGGCAGCCCATCGGACGCGTGAACATGGTCACGGGGCACGTGAAGACGCAGCTGATCGCCCACGACAAGGAGGTGTACGACATCGCGTTCTCCCGAGCAGGAGGCGGCAGGGACATGTTCGCGTCCGTGGGTGCCGACGGATCGGTGAGGATGTTCGATCTTAGGCACCTGGAGCACTCCACCATTATTTATGAGGTAGGAGAACGGGCAATTCTCTATTTTTGCGAACTGACTGTACAGTTTTTGGTTGTCTCTCTTGCAGGATCCGGCGCACACGCCCCTCCTGAGACTGGCCTGGAATAAACAGGACCCCAACTACTTGGCCACAGTGGCGATGGACTCGTGTGAAGTGATAATCCTGGATGTTCGCGTTCCCTGCACGCCAGTCGCGCGGCTCAGCAATCACCGAGCGTGTGTAAATGGCATCGCATGGGCGCCCCACAGGTGGGTTTATTCTCCTGTTCTCAATCCAAGAAGATGCGCGCAGAGACAAGTAATAAATTCCGAGAGATTCACCGCGAAATAGGAACGGCAATAAAAGTGGTGGGAAAAGAAATTCATCTTTTCAGCTCTATAAATAACACAAACGAACAGCCTAAATAAATAATTGAGTGTCTCTCGCGAAATGCGCGACTATTTCTCTCCTCTGTGATATCAAATTGCTTAAAATTTGCATTATTACATATGCAAAAGAATTCTTCTGAGGATTAGAAATATGATTGATGAGCATTTGTTCCCATTTTCAGCTCCTGCCACATTTGCACAGCTGGTGACGATCACCAGGCACTGATTTGGGACATTCAGCAGATGCCGCGCGCCATCGAGGATCCTATTTTAGCATACACGGCGGCCGAGGGCGAGGTGAATCAAATTCAATGGGGCGCCACGCAGCCAGACTGGATTGCAATTTGTTACAACAAAGCCTGCGAAATTCTTCGGGTCTAAACTCAGCATCAATCTTCAATGTTGATTGGAGAGATGGTTTATTTTATCATTATCCCTAAGGAAATTCATGGAGACGAGTTATGTTTAGTGCTAGGGAAATTCATATTCACAAAATTAAGAAAAGAAAAGAGACAGAAGCGGAGGAAGGGCAATGGAAAGTGTGTGTGTGCATGCAGATGAGGAGAAGAGACGAAAGGACTCTCTCTCTGTGCTTTCTCTCACTATTCTCTCTGCATGTATGTTTGGAGAGAAGGCTTTGACAAGTGAGAATTTGTGTTCGACTTATTTCTCCTATTTTTACTGTTAATTTCTCTTTAGTAGTGGAAAATAAGAATGGCACAAGAGAAAGAAGAAAAAGGGTGTTTGTGTTTTCATTTAGATAAGAGATATTAAGTGTGAGACTTGAAGTTTTACAGCAAGGAAAAGAAGATGGTTAAAAAGTATAGCCGATGAAGAAACAGAAGACGGAAAAGAGCAGATTTTGTACGAATAATATTTCGAAATACATTTTAATGTATAAATGAGATGAGCAGTATGTGCAGAATAATTTATTCAATAAGTTATAAGAGGAATTTTTCTAAGGCTTTCATTCTCCACTATAGATTGACAAGGAAGGATAAAAAAAATTCTAATAGATTAATATATGATTTTTCCCATAATGATGAAAAATATGGATCAATAGCCAGATTAATAGAGTTTTTAAATTAGTAAGAATCATTCTAAAATGGTCAATATTGTAAGGCGCAGTGTAATTTATTGTCATTCTCCCCTATTTATTAAGCGACTCCTAAACTCTACTATTTCTTTATACCTTGTTTATTTTTCGCAGAAACTACACGATGAAAGACAGTAAGATATCGATCGTTCATTTAGCACAGAAAAAAAGCGACAAAAACTAGCATGAATCTTAGTTTTCATAGATATCTTGCAATCATTTCTCCCAATGCGAGTCTTAATATTAAATTCTTATCATGCAGATGCAAAACATTAGAATATTATTACAAAATAAAGTGAGAGTAGAATTTTTAAAAGCGAAAGTATTTTTCATTTGACTTCGACGGATTTTTGGGGCTTCGAAGGTAAGTCTGTCGAAAATTTTACCCAATCGGATTCGCTTGTGTCGATGAGTAAAAAATGCACATGAATTTCTTTCATCAATGTTTTATTGAAATGTTAATTTACACTTAGTTAATGATCCTTTTTTTTGTGAAAATTGTTTAAAATTGGGGTTGTGTTCTTTTATGTCTATCAATCCACTGCTTTTCGGTGAACTCCATTGTATTTTTCGTCTACATTTTATTTTTCATCTTTTCTCAGTAAAAACCCTATTCCTTGTGATTTTCCTTCATCCATTTATACAAAAAGAGACTTGTTTTCTTGAGTGGAAAATAACATGTAAGTGGGATTAATATGTACAAGAGGTTTCATGAGGAATTTTCTCTAAATCTAATTATCTTTCTCAACTTTATCAATCTATACTCTTGTGTACTCTGTTCGGGATGGAAAAATGAATGAATAAAATTTGCAACTTGTACATATAATTTTCTTTCATCATGCATTCTTTTCTCTATGCACCAAGTTTTTTTTCTTGTGTATGTTGGCAGAAATAGGGAGAATTTTTCGGGCGCAATGATTCCATTTTTTCTTTTCAAATCTCCTCTTCTCTGGCCATTTAACTGTTTTTTTTTTCTTTCTTGCCGTCACGTACAAATTGGCAGTGAAATATCCTTTCATGATTCAACTCCTCAAAAATTGATCTTCGTTTTTCTTTTTCTACTAGCCTAAGCAAGGCTTCTCATGCGTTTTCTTTTCAAGCACAACAAACAACAAAAAATGTCACTATTCCTAGTGTTATTCCCACATAAAGTCACCTTAAAAACCTAGTGCTCTTGCTTTATTAATAGATAAAAAAAAGAGGATATTTACGAAATCCTCGACACATGATTTCACTGAAGCTTTGTTTGTGACTAAATTGCCTGGTTTGATTAACAAGAAATCATACTGGAAAACTATTGGATTACTAAATACTCAAACACGGCCGTTGAGCGTGTCGAGACCTCAAAACTTAGATGATGACCAAGTTAACAAAGAAGACTATTTGTTATGCATTTTCTATCATTCTCTGTTACGCTTCTTTTTTTTCCTTCTCAAATTGTTCCGGGCGGATATTAGCAATTTAATGTATAATTAAAACTACAAAATAAAACATCAACCTCATTCATCAGCTCTCTCTCTCTTTAACATATCTCAAAGAATAGACTAGAAGTAGTTCTTTTCTTACATTAGGAGAAAATCTTTCATAAATGTAAAATGGGAAGCATTGTGTGAATTTTAACTCTGTGAACCCCGTTTTTCCAATTTCCAATCCTTTTCTTCAACATTTGGAATGAAGAAAATATTCTATTTTATCTATCGATACGACTTCTTCATTGATGATTTTTTTGTAATGCCTATGTCTCTAAAATGTTCTTGCATTTATGTGAAAGAAATATTACTTATTACTTCATCATGCACTAGTAATGAATGCTAAAAATTCTCCCATCACGTTACATTCTTCAATCAATCAACTTGTGTGGTTTTGTGTGTGTCTCCCTAATCAAAAAATCCTCAATCGCTTCGCCGCTAAAAATTGTGATGTCAGTCATTTGATTATTTCAAATATAAGATAACTATTATTTTTACACATTTTTCCTCATATTCCATCTCTTATTAGAATACAAAAAATTGCATGATATTGAAAACATCTTCATTGTTTCTTTTCTGCCTCAACCTTTTCTCGCCTTTCTTTGTATTAAGTAGTCACGATAAAAAAAAACAATTAGTGTTAACAAACACGAAAATGCTACGTTTAGTTTTCTTTCCTATTCTCTTCTTTGCCGCAAAATTTATATTACAAATTGATCTTCTCACCGGTTTTTCTACCTACAATTTTCTTCGCTTGTTTCCCTTCCCAAGTTTCTTTTTCAACTCATTTCTATTCATCGAGTTTTCCTCCTCATTTTCTCTTTTACATTTAAATGCACAAGTCTAGTTAAATGTACTCTTCCATCACTTTTTCTGTCCACTTCTTTTTTTTACAACATTTGTTTGCATCGCTCGGATTTTCTCCTCAAATATAAAATTATATTATTAGTTACTATCAGACATTTTATCATTTACATTTGTTTTATAAATTATTTTTCAATTGTAAAATTATATTCTGTATCGCCTAAATATTCTACCTACACGTCTATAAAGAAATAAAGACCCATTTTGCATGATTTCCTCTTCATTCATTTGCTAAAACAAAATTAACTTCCATCAATTTCAAATATATATAAACTAGATAACTACAAAGAAACACATTTCCTTTCTTCCCTTCTATTGATAAATTTCACTTCTTCCCAACAAGAGCAATCTTCTCACTTTATCCACAAAGCACTGTGTCTCTTTTTCTTCTCAAAAAACACTCTTTCTGTTCGGTATTGTGATTCGAGGGAACAACATTTATGATCTAGAAGATATATTTTATACCACAAATATGTAGAAAATTTCGCACAATTCCTTCATACAGTTACTGACAATGAAAATATGAAATGCATAAGGTTTGATCTACTCGTAAAATCTCTCAACTGTCTCTAAAGAACTACAAAAATCTGTGGACTTTCAATATTCGGAATGTGGAACGTTAACAATGTTTGGATATTGTGCAAAATTTTGCAGGACTTTTCTGACAATCTCATGCAAAAGTGTCTGGAGTTTTCCTTGTCAAAATGATTGTCGCATCTTGAGTTACACTTTGGCAATCCTTTCATATTTAAATCAAATTTCTATCATGAGTCTTTTGAAAGTGATCTTGAGCATAAGAGATTGTCCTGAATGTGATGCAAATGTTGATAGTTTTTGCATGAGATTGTCATTTCTTCTAATCATTTTATCCACATCTTACTCACCATGCAGGACGAAACAACAATATCCCTCACAATTACACAGAGTCCATTCAAGAAGAACGTAGCGTAGAGATGCAATTCCACTCAGTACTTCTTCGCATAGCCAAAGGTGGTGAAATCACATGCTGGCATTTGACCACCGCTGGCCATGTTGGTGCCGTGATAAGATCGCCCCGGCGCGTTGTGTTATACGGAGATCTCGTAGTTCATATCGTACACACTGGCGCGGTCGGGCGTGGGCGTCGTGGACCTCTGCGGGCCGCCCGGATGCTGGATCGGCCCGTTGTTCCTACTCGTATTTTGATTTGGTTGCTGCTGCTGAATATCACTCGCGCTCTGGGCCATGTCCATCGCATCCGTCATCTCGAGGGCGCGCACAAACGACATGGGACGCGTCGGCGTGGCTTTCCTCTTCACCTGTGGTGATGGCTGTGGCGGGAACACGGGCACGCCGCCCCTCAGCGCCGGATGATAGCCACTCGAGGTGGGCTGTATGTTATTTGGCATTGTCTGCGGATATCTCTGCTGTCCGCCGCCGTACTGCATCTGCTGCTGTTGCTGCTGCTGCGTTGGGCTCGTGGGATTCGAGCGATGGTGGTCCATCTGCATCATCTGTTGGTTGTTCTGCTGCTGCCTCAGCATGTTCATCTGTGTGGCCTGCACACCGGGAAAACCCGGCGGATTTGCCGATCCGCCATATCCAGGACTGGTGTCCTTCCACATATAAACGCCCCGCTGAGGACTGCCCGCCAGCTCGCGAATGTTGTCCACAGTGTTGTTCGTGCGGGCGTACGAGAGCTCCGCTCCCTGACGCACGAGCTCACCCTCCGAGAGGAATCTCCTCTGCGGACTGCCATAGACAGCCTGGCTGCGAATGGCACCGTTGTTGTGGTGCTGCTGTGCCATCTGATACGCCTGCTGCTGCGAAGTGGCCGGCTGAAGACCCTGATGGTGTTGCGCTTGCTGCATTGGGAAGTCATAATACGTGGCGCCCACTTGGTTGGCCATCGAAGAGTTCACACTGATAAAGTCCGGACGACGTGGTTGTGTTGGCGTGCCAGGATTCGATCTAGTCAGAAGAAAAAAAAAACAACGCACACAAACATGCTGATGTTAGAGAACATAAGGGAAAAATTGAAACTCATTGTGATTCTGACGCATAATGAATTACATGAGAACTATTCAATTACTCATCAAGTAACTCTCTCTTGCCTATCAATTTTCTATGAAAAATACACTCTTCGAGCAGCAGCCAAAGCAATTAAAATCCAAGCGTATCAATTACCCTAAATATACAAGATTAATCACTCCCTTGTTGGGGCGCGCAATTACATGAATATCTTAAATCTCCAACAATCAAATTCAATAAGACGAATTCAAATAACGTGCTGAAGCTGGGAAGTTGATTGTCTCTCACGTCTACGGAGAAAATGTTGAGGGAAATCAAAAATAGAGTCGAAATGATGCTGCACATGTACAATTAACTATACACGTGAGAACTTATGTGGGTGTCCAAAACACACCACAGTGACTTGGTCAAACATTTAATTACCAATAAATCAATAGTGGACCATTTTCAAAATTAGTCGAGATATTTTCAGCCCATTCTCTCCATCATTTCTAAGTCCACCTTGGAGATTGAGAGGGAGAGAGAGAGAGAGAGAGTTTATGCGTATCTCTTAGAGAGTGTGTTCACATCCCTAGAGAACACTTTTCCTCACCTTCTCACTGGACTCGACATGGCCAATGGTGTGGCAACGCCTAGTGCTTTGATTCGTTGTTGCATCGTTGGTGTCGCCGAAGTCCCTCGCGGCCCCATTTGTTGCTGCTGCTGCTGCTGATTAACCACCTGCATCTGTATGCCACCCATCATCTGTCCCGGTTGCTGCTCCGGCGACATAGAATCCGGCGTGTAACCGCGCGAAGGATCGAGTCCCCTGCAAGGGAAGCGGGTGAAAGCACTTCAGCAACATCCTCTTCCACACCTTCACACTCATCGAGAAGATAAAGTTACATCAAATATTCACAGAAAGTGGAGATACAGAGAGAACTCATGCATAATAAATTCCCTGTACATATTCTTTACTATGGAACGCAATGCCCAACTCCTTTCACTTTCATCTCATCTTGTCTCAAACTCATTATATTCCGCCTTTGACTGTGGGAGAATCGCACACAATTCACCTCTAAGGTCTAAAGTGATCATTTTACTCAAATACTCTGCATACTTTGTGTGTACTTCACTTTTACGATTATGTATCTGCTTTGAAAGAAATTATATATTGCGCATATGTAAATTCCCAAAGAAAGTCCACAATGTTGAAAAGTTAATACACTGTAAGCATTGTAACATGATTTCACACAATATGATAAGTTCTCCTCCCACCAAATCATAAAGATATCTATTTAAAGCATTATCTTAATTACTGACAAAGCCAACATGTAATGAATTACGTGCCTAAATTAATTGACAAGGCCAAATCGAAGTTGGTAAGTGTCAATTCAATTTTCAGGCAATTATTGAGGCAAAAGGAGAAACTGATACTGAAGATCAAACTCCAGTCACATATGTAAATATACTTCAAATTCACTCATACATATTATAGCATCCTCCCTTTGTTGTGGCTTCCACAAACTTTCAAGTTGATAATACATCGTATATTTCTGTCGCATGGGATGGAAAACCATAGAAGATTCGCTCTCACAGTTCCATAAGACTTATAGCGAAGTACAGTGACCATCAATGAAATAGAACCATTGGCAATCCTACCGAAGAGCTTGTTTGTGAATGAAGGTGTGCCATTTCAATTTGTGACCACTGTATATTTCCATTCAAACAAATAACCATGAAATATGTACGGAAAATTAATTTTCTACATTATTGCTCAATGCGACATTGCTTACAGCAATTCTGCCAATGTGCACAATAATTTGAACTTTAAAACAAGGACATATTTGCTTGAGAAATTGGATATCAAAGTACCAAACGACTGATTGCACTGGACTGTTTAACTTGTACAAGAGATGTCGAGTTACGAAAAAAAACTGTCTCACAACTCCTGCTAAAAATAGCAGAGATCAAAGGTGGAACAACAGTGGGAAAACCACAAAAAAGTCGCTCAGTCTAGAAATCGTTGCAGTTCATGGGAGTCAGTGATGTAGGTGAAAAAGCACATTGACTCACCTCTGTCGCGGATGAGGACTATGTCGCGGATGATACATCCTGATGTGTCTGGGCGATTCACCACCATCGATGGGCGGCAAGAAGAAATTGCTCTTGGATCCATGTCTCTGCAGCGGTGGCGTCGGTTCGCAATCCTGACTCTGGGACGCCTGAGGCTCCATGTCCGTGTCCGAACACTCTCTTCCCGGTGACAACTGAATTTTCAAGGTTAAATCAATTAATTCCAAACAATCACCTTTTCGCGTCTTATCGCTTTCACATTAAGTTGTGACACAAGAAATTAAAACATTATTTACGAGAAATATACAAAACAAAAGTCAACAACAAACTAAATACAAAATGAAACCTTTAGTAAAAGATAAAGACAAACACACATTACATAAAAAACAACGTGAAAGAAAATAGAGACTGAAAATAAAAGAGAAAATTTGTACTTTTTTTTTTAAAGATTTCTATCTGTTCTGTACAGAAGATTTGTCATTTAATCACTTAGAAACTTGTACAAAATCTACCGAGAATAGAGAAATAAAGGTATTTTTTTTAAAGAATAAAAAATTGTTGTGAAAATTACCTTAGGCTGGTGAGATTTTTATAGTGTGAAACATTATTCCTAATAAATTTTACTCTATAGGTGGCATAATTTCATCAATTTTAAGAGTGTGAACTAATTTATAGCACCGCAAAGTGAAAAAGGCGTCAGAGTCAGGCGAGAGAAATAGCAAGAAAAAAAAGAGTTTCTTTGAGTAGTTTTTCTCCTCACCCACACTGCTTTCCAATTAGAAATAGTGTCAAGAAGTCTCTGTGGGCACAATCACGGCGTGAAAAAACTCTCAATAGCAAGCTCTCTCTCTCTCTCCCTCTCTTTCTGTCTACGTGAAAACTTTGCGCAGCAACAGAACGTTGATGAAGCATAAAACCTACTAGTTTAACTAAATCAAGCCATCTATTCGCCACTGAAAACGCATTTGCCAGTTGATATTGCTGTAAAGATTTACTTTTTACTTTTTTTTTCGACACGAAAACTAAGCTAAGAAGCCCCAAAGCTTCTCACGCTAATGTCCGAGCATTGTAAGAAAAAGAAATTTAGCAAAAAGCTTGCTTATCAAAGCCCAATTACTATCATTGCGATTAATATGATATTGCATTAGTCACAAAATGAAAAACATCACGCAAGAAGAGGGCGAACAAAACAGCTTTTCAGACAGGTTAGAACAAAACAACAAAAACAACTGAGCCAGAAAAGCCATAAAGTGAATTGCATACACAAAATGTTATGAGGGAACAGAGAAGAGCGATGAAGAGGCGGAAAGTGAAACAAAAATCGCGCAAAAGGGTAGAAAACTCTAGCTAATTACGCACCTTGCTGTACTGTGTAGTTCCACCAGAACGCATCCCATGCCCATTTCCATGGTCCGTATAGGTTTTTACCTGTGTATGTCGATTATCTCTCTCATAGAGATGCGGCTGCTGTTGCTGCTGCAGCGCTCCCGCGCCGCCCGGCTGACTGCTGCCGCCGCTCCTCGCCTGTCCATCGCTCGTGATTGTGCTGATCATCTGACCCTCCTTATTCGATCGCCTCGCCGCGTATTTGTGCGGCTTCATCAGACTTTTCGGTGTTTTGCCATTGAGGGAAGCAGCAGAGGAGAGATAAGAAAGACAAAACACGTGAGTTCACAGCTCAAGGCAAGGTTAATTGAATTATTGGGACGCGACAAGTGACAAAAGCACAAAACCATAACACCCTCTCGCTTCTGCGAATTGCTTTCAGCTTCAACTTCCGACGACGATAGATAAATTCCAATTATTACCCCTCATCTTATCTTAAAACCACGAAGAGACACAATGGAAAAGATATTGATCGATTTGCCATTTTTTTCTCACTCTGGGAAGCTCTCAAGATTCATTGTTTATTTTGGGCCATGACGCGGGAAAATCTTTAAGTTTCCATGAATTAAAGTGCTCTTCATACTAGAGTTGTGCAATTTCTTCCTCCTACACAACATTTTCATATGCATAGGAATTCTTGGTAAAACAAGATGAATTCCCTGGCATTTCCTATTACATATTATTCTGTCTTTCTCTGGAAATGTTATTTGACATCTATAAAGAAATGCGCGCATCTTCAACCTTGAAAGTGTTGGTTTTTCCCACTGAAAACGCATTCATAAAGTGATTGAGTGTGAAATTAGTGCACAAGAATACCTGGGATATTGTGGTCCGCACAGTGTGTAGCAGCAATTGTGCCAGCATCCCTGCGAGAAGGGATTGTAGCCACCCTTGAATTTGCCCGTCACTTGCTCATTGGTCGTGCGTCCACGTGACACGAGCACCATGTGAAATCCCGTGAGGCCAAACACCGGAATTGCCAATACTATGATTATAGCAATCAACACGAGAGCCACAATCACGTCCACCTGCGCCAGCTTCTCCTTGTTGTGCAGCACAAAGATGAGACACAGCGAGAAGATACTCAGCATATGGATGGAGAGTGATATCAGGAAGAAGAAGAAGAAACGGTAATTTCTACGACCTGTTGAGAAATGGAGAAGAGCACAATATAACCAAGAGTCAAGGGTCAAATCGATAGTCAGGCGAATTGGCTGAAAATGACTGTAGAGAGGGCTCTTATCAATTCATTTCATCAATGTTCCCCCCGTTCAGATGCTCTCGATTGATTATTTATTGTCATTCACCGACCTTGACTTCCTAATCATTCCATATTTCTCCAATTGATTGAAACCCCCTCATTCTCTCATTTAACCCTGTATTGATTCACTCACCTATGCACGAGTTCACCCATGGACAGTGATGGTCCATTTTCTGAAAAGGCAAAAAGAAGAAAATGTTATTGTGTGCGCATTGCTTCATACAAGAGAGAGATAATATGGTTGAATTATTTTACACATTTTGTTTGATTCCTCCGCAATTTGTCAGTGGATCTTCTCTAACACCTTCTGCATAACCTTTACCAACATTTCCTAATCATTAACAGATCAGACTCTTTTGTCTCTTAGACACTCACGTCTTCATTATGTACCAATATTTAGGATTCATTTCCCATAACTGACCTATTCCAATTCTATTCGACTGTACTCTGTATCGTGTTATCACTGTCAATAATCACAACACCTGTCATTATTATCCGGAACTCATCAATGAGTTTGCAGTCAATGGCGCTCGAATATATCAAAACACTCTCTTTACTACTCTTTATCCCCATAAATGGACAAACATCACAATAAGACCCTTCACGTGCTGCCAACGTACCATCTCCTATAGATTAATTGCCTGCGTGATGTGATCACCTGGCGAAATTTTATTAATAGAAATTCGCAAAACTGTCCCAAAACTCACCTCTATACACTGATTGCACACAGAACAGTGGGAACATCTGGGCGGTCGATAGAATTTGCAGGTGACACACCATTTCATTCGGACGGTAATTCCATTAATGTCAGCATTTTTGTACAGCGGAGCCCGAAATTCATCCTCTCTGTCTTCATCGGGCAAAGCTGGAAAGAAGATTCACAAACCAACAAACACAGAAATCAGAAGAGTCACTTTAAAATTAGACCCAAATAAACCAATCAAGTTCACTCACCTTTTGGTATCACTCCCGGATCCATAAATGATGCCAGAGTGAAGTTGGCGATCACGAAGAACGTGATGACTCCCTGATAAACCGGCACCCACGGAAAGCGGGGCACGTAGTACTGGCAACTGATGTTCAATCCAGAGGCGTTTTGTGGTGATGAACATGTCGAAGCGAAGAAAGACACCCAAAAATAGACAAATATTAATATCGTCTCTATAAAATAAGCGCACATTCAAGAGGAACATTTGATCACTGCACGCATGTGATGAGAGAGAATCTGAGATAGGGCAAGAGTTTGTTTATGTAAAATTACTCTTCACCATTTTGATATTAATAAGCATATTAATGTGACCAAGAATCATCAACTATTCGCCAATAACTTGATTTAGGGCACATAATGCAAAAGAAATTACTTGATTTTTATTTCATTATCAAAAATTTATCAAATCCTTCGTTTCTCAAGAATTAAGCGATGAGGCAGGAAGAAAGGTGTGAAAATCGCAGTCTTCATCTCACATTTACACAATTTTAAATTTTTTTTTTGCCAAAGAACCTGATATAAATAGAACCATAGCACGATGATGAATACAATTAGCATGTTTCATTGATCTCAATGTATCGGAAAATTTGTCATATTCTCTTCCACGAAGAGCTAAAAATGCCATTGAAAGTCAAATTGTGATGTAGAGCAGCAAAAAGTGTCTGTGAAAATTGAATTTAACTCACTTGTGCAATTAAAAGTTTCTCAAATGGACGCTTTCTGAAAGCACTGCGAATCATCTGATAGACACAACATAGCCCACAGTGTATGAGAATTTCATTAATTTCGTTGCCGTTGGAAAATCGAAATGGAATTGTGTGAAAGTGTTTCGCGATTCTCCACATTACATGGCTTTTCTGGCTGAACACATATAAGTAAAAATAAGTGAAATATATATGTGCTTATTCTCATCCACTTCCGATGTTGCCCTGAGCAATTTTGTCAATTGATATTTTTTTTCCTACAAAATTGTCTCACATTCGATGTAAAGTTTTTGATTTCCGTTTACACTATTTCCTTTCCATTGCAACATGATATGCACTTAATGTCAATTCACACAAATCTGTGTGGTGACGAGACAACAATGGAAGAGGCAAAAAATTCATGAATTTTTATAAAATATATGATTCACGACGAAATGCTCGAATTACGTATGTGATTACCCAATTTAAAAAATTGTTCTCTTTTTGTCTGAGAAATTCATTTTGCCTTTTGGGGAAATACACTTGTGATGTTATTAAAAATGTTTCAAATTCGCTGAATTTTACTAAACCACATGATTGCTGTTTAACCCTTTAGGACTGAATGGGAGAAATGTGTCCCATACATTGAATAGTTAGGTTATTTTCTAATGTTTTATTTTGTTTAATTCCTGTTTTTATCCATAAACAATTCTAAAGGCAGGACAATATAGAAGAATTGTATCCAAAATCCAGGAATTCCTTTATATTTCTAACATGGGTTTTACAGACTGTCCTTAATCCTTGGCTTAGAACCTTATGGTCCTAAAATGGTTAATTCCTAGAATACGTAGGCATTTAGGCAATAATTCTGAGAACTTCAGAAAAAGCGTGAATAGGACGATATCCTAATCTCCTAATCTCTACACTACATGTATGTACCAAGAATCTTATCACAACTTCATAAATTGGAGCTTCTGGCAAAATTCTCACACCCTTTTCCGAGAACTTTTTTTCCAGACACGTCTAAACAAGTCGTTTTCCAGGGAAAATTGCCCAAAGCCTCATGCTCGTTCATCTGACCAACTCAATTGTCCTAATTCAATTTTTACAGAGAATCCTCTTGTGCTGCTGCAGCTCTCTCGATTGCGCGTCTCTCGTAGGCCACTCTGCCCGCCAGGAAGCGACCCACTCCACAAGTGCCCCTTGGCTGAGCCCGAGTCACAAGGTCATCGATGGAATCCGTCAAATCGACTCCGGGAAAGCAAATGGCCTCAGAAATATCTCGCTATTGACCCATTTCGCTGCACAGCGCGATGCTCTCGTGCGTAATGCACGGGCGCTCCATGGAGGGGCGCGCGTCCACGGGGCCCCACTTGCTCAGTAGCACGCGCGGGGGGAAAAGTGGCGACACGACGAGCAAAATACTCGCAGAGACTACGCGCTCGCAGATTGCAGCAATTAGAGAGATTTGCACAGTCAGTGCGTCCAGCGAGTGGATAATCGCGACGATTGTGAATGAAAGTATAGAAATGAAGGGAAATTGAGCGGGTGGGAAACTTACGGATAGTAGAAAAACACGAAAGTTGTGCTCAATAAGACCGCCCAAGCCAGCACGGCCGGGATGTATTTTGTCTTGAGATCGCATTTCGGCATCGCGCTGCCGCCACTGTGTGATAACACTCGGTGAATAGACTGTATGAACTGCACAAATGACTGAGATTTTATGGGATTTTCTCACTTTTTTCACCACACTTTCTTGCACTTTTCCTGCGAAACACACATTTTTCACACAGAATCCGCCATACTAAAGTGTGTGCGAGGTGTCAAGCATGTCACGCGAAGTTGGCGCACGTCCGAACACGACTGCCAACGTTGGGTCATTTAAAAATGGCTGATCTTCGTTAAGCTCTTTGCAATACATTTCACTGGAGGCGTTGTAGTCGATTTAGTGGTGTTTTTGTCAGGTTCCGCCTATAAACAAACGGAGATAATTTTGCGAATTGCTCTCGAAACCCTGCAAAAATGTCTCGATCTGTGCGTGCTGAGACAAGAAGCCGAGCTAAGGATGACATCAAGCGAGTGATGCACGCTGTGGACAAAGTCAGACACTGGTAATTAGTATTTTCCCCATGCAAATTATCCACCATTGCAAATGTACTCAGCGAATTGGTCGTTTTTACTTTCGCCAGGGAAAAGAAATGGGTCACAATTGGCGAGACTACAATGAAGATTTTCAAATGGGTGCCCATTTCCAACAGTGAGCAGAAGAAGAAAATCTCCAAGTTGGAGAACAAGGAGAATCTCAAGGCGATGGAGCATCGAGGCACTTTCGGCGAGGACTCCAACACTTGTGAGTATGCTGGAAATCGTGAGGGTCTGAAAATGTTCCATTCTCTGCGAAAAATCAATTTATTTTTGAAAAAGTTTCTTCAGAATCTATATTGATCAATGGTATTTGACTTTTGCAGGCTTTTCAATGGTCAGCGATTCGCAGGAGTTCGTGTCCAGCATGCCATTCTCCGAAGACTCAAATTCCCAGGGTAGCGAAGAAAATCCTACGCCCACACACAAGCGGCTGAAAACGGAATGACGCCCGTAAAGTGGAGATGAATCCCGGTCACGTCCGGTTAATGCTTTCCGCATACATTTCCTCTGCAGCGTGCCAAGTGGGCAAACTTTTGCCTATGGCACAGTTTGCATGAGATTTTCAGAATATTTCTGTATTTTACGTTACTGTAAGATGAGATTCTAGACGGTATATGAAGTGAAATAAATTATTAAGGTGAACTTTGAGAAATTTGCAAAATTCTTGGCTCCTAAAAGTTCCTAGATCCGAAATGGCCGAAAAATTTCCGGAGACAAATGTCATTTTCAGCTTTGAAAGTGTCATACTATCAGAAAACGGTGAATCGTCCATTTGCGTGTTGCATTGCATTTTTATTTCATTAAAATTGTAAAATATCCTTGTCCTTATTATTTTTTCTGTGATCAATCTTATCTGAGAACTAGTGTAGAAAGAAACCTCGATATAAAAGCATGGATTTGATCAATTTGTCGCCGGCAAGTGAGAAATCTCAGTCGATATTGTCGATGAGTATGCCGGCTCCGCTGCTGCCGCCGATCGAGAATTGGGAAGGTAACGGTATTGCTAACATTCAAGTTCCTCTCAGAGACAATGATGGTTTTAAATGATCCCTTAACTATTCATAGGGCGACTCAGCATCAGTGGGGACCCTTTTGAGAAGATGCAGACGCAGGCGAACCTCCACAACGACCCTTATGAATGTCTGAACCACAATCGGGCCGCTTCTGGGCCTCTTTCAACCAATCTGGGAGACTTGGAGGAGTTCCTACAAAGTGACTTCATGATCACGCCACTTGACTCCAATCGAGCTTTTATTTTCTGTGACATCTCGCCGATCTTCAACTCATTCAGCGGCGGTCAAGCTTCCCTGCTCGACAAGGGTTTCCTGATGCAGAGCTCTTCCGCTTTGTCCGGATCTTCGGCAAAAATCTACAGCACCAGCGGAGAAAAAGTCTCCCCAGCGAAGAGCTCTGAAAACAATGCAGAAGTTACGGCCTGGCACTCGATAGTGGCGGAGAATCAGGAGGATTTAACAACTCAAACTCCGCCGCCGATGTTCGATGGAGAGGAACTAGATGACAGTCTGGAGGACATGAAGATCATATCCCTGGATGACATACCCGCAGCTGAAGACATTAAAGAGCCAGAGTGCGTCACTCCTCCTCCTCCTCAGGAGACTTTGGCTGTGACGCATTCCGTCAATGTTGAAGACCTCCGACGTCGAATGAAAGATATGCTCAACAAAAAGGTCAATCCCGACGACTCAGCGTTGATTCCCACGGACGAGTGTCTGGATAACGTAGGTCTTGAGCGCCAAGGTACTTTCAATATCGACAAAGGAACAGAGAAGAACCATTCAAACGACACTGGCGAAATAAAGTCTCCGGAGGAGCAGAAAGACACTGAAAACGCTTTTCTGGAGAAACTGAAGGTGATCTGCGGAGAACACAATGTCAGCTTTGTTAGGGATGCCGCTGATGTGCAGGATAATCAGTCGAAGATCGTGCTTTTCATGAATGGTGAGTTGCTCTATTCACGTAAACTTTTCCAGTTTTACAGTCTTTTCTCTCTTCTGTAGATTCTTCCGAGACTGGCCAGCGCCAGCCGGTCCTGAAGCGCAACAACTCATTCTCCAGTGAGATTCCTCGCAACGTGAGTGTTTCGTCCGGTAGACGGCGTCGTTCCGCGACGGCTGTAGAGACGCGCATGCAGGATCGCGAGGCGGCGCGTGACTGGAGTTCTGCCGTGAATCGTGCTCTGCCATCGCCGCAATTCCGCGGGAAACTGAAGCTGCGCACGGCAGAAGTGAAGCCAAGCGTGAAAGTGGGGCCAATGCGAGCTCTGCAGCCTCAGCCGAAAATCCGCGTGGATGAGAATGAGACACCACCTGAACTTGTGGCGAAGACAAGAGATAAAAGGAAGTCACTTGTGGCCACGAGCACTCCAAAAGGTGATACAAAGCCGGTGAAATTCTCCACGCCGAATGTGAACTTGGCCGTAAAGGATGGGACCAAGCGCAGGAGCAGCTCAAGGTTCTTATTGCCCGTTAACAACACGATCCGCTCACGCTACTCACTCACGCCGTCCAAATAAGTCTGACTTGCACATGATTTTTTAAAATAAACTTTTGAGATTTGCATTAGAAAGAGTGGATTTCTTCCTTTCGTCCCTTCAGCGAGAGAAAAAATCTGTGGTATTTTGCCTCATAATTATTATTGATAATTATACATTTCAATAATAATAATATCAATTCAATCGATACAATGTTTACAAAAAAATAAATTTAATCCGTAAATACTCTTCATGATAAAAATTTTCCATTTTTCACCATAAGTTTCATTTATTTTCCTTTCTATTTGATTTCTTTTACTTTTTTTTCTCTACTACACATTTTTTTTCTTTCTTTCACAGAGAAAGAAATTTTCTATAGTTTATTATGCTTTACTATTTTGCAAAACAAATTGTGATTCTACGGTTTGAGAACAAAAATTCTCCAAGTTTATTGTTGCATCATTTTGTAACATATATAATTTCGGTCTTACATTTAGCAGATTGGCATTCTTGCGAGTTTTCTTATTGTAATTCCTACATTTTTATTAGTCGATAGAAATAATTTCTGGGAAGTTTATCACTGGGATGCACTTTGAAATGAGAATTTCTTGCAGTGGAGGAAAAAAGCGTTTTTTTTTGTTGAGGTTTTGCCAAATCAATATAAATATCATACATTATAAATAGAAGATTTTTCATCGTCGTTTTTCTGTTGTTAATCTCTAGAGGGCTAAAATAAAATAATACAATTAAAGATACATTCAGTATACATTACATACTATCGTTTACATACAGTCATAAATAAATAAAATTTCTCAGACATTTTAGTTGTTTTCTTGTCATTTTATTCGTCAAATCTACCATTCCTAGTCCACTTATTTTTCTCAAATGTCAAGAAACGTCAATGAAATCTATTTTTTTATCTCCTCTAAATTCTGTTTCGTCAGTTTTTCACTCTTATTTCCTATTATGCACTAGTACATATTTTTTTTATTCTAAATATGCTCCTCATTTCAGTTATTAATTATTAGTTCCTTTGTCACTTTTAATTTCTATAGCATTTTTTTTTACTTCTGTCTGCCTTTTTATACATATTCTCTAATGTGTATTTTTTCATATTCAAATTAATTAAATTTATATGCATTCATTTTTAATATAGATTGAATCATACTTCTTCTTTTTAACGAATTTATAATTTCTAATAAAATTTGCTCACGCAGAAAGCAAATTCTTCACTAATACTCATATTCAAATGTGTATATTTTTATTATAATTCCTTATTACTTGTTTTTTACCTTTTTCCTTCCTTGTTTTTCAAGAGTCGCTTCCACTTTTGCTATACTATTCAATTGTAATGTACGCAAGTTCTACATTTTCATTTACTCTCCTTTCATCTTAATTCTTGCATTACTTTTAAAGGAATCTTGTTCTTTTCATGCATATTTGTTAGTTTTAATCAGTAAAATATGTAAATATTTTTGCATTCTCATCCTTGCAGACTTATCAGGATCTTCCAGTGTCATTCGAAAGATCACAGTAAAATAAAGTATTATGAAAACCCAACAAAAGTCTATCAGTTTATAAATCCGATCTATTTTTCATACCTTCTGTCAGATTATGGCAAAATTCACTATAAATCTCTATTCATCAAATAAAACTATTATCATATCTCTTGTTTCTTTTTTTTTAAATTTACTTCTAAACCAGTCAAACTAAATGAATGCAGTGTTTCCTTCGGTAATTTCATAATGGATTTCTCTTCACATTGTTTTTCTTGTGCATGTTCAAAATCATTTCCATGCTATTTAGTTTATTTTATAAAAATATTGTTAATTTTTCTAATGGGACACACAATATTAGACAATAGAAAAAAGTGTATTCATTCTAAAAGCATATAAAAGCAAAAATTATACAAAAACAATCACATTTATTCGTTTCTCAAACTAAAGTCGTGAAGTAATGTATTAAAAAATCTCTCTCGTTCTTTAATTGATGTGTTAAATAAAAAAAAATAGGTAGAAATACTATCTAATTAGTTAGAATTGATAAAAATCATACTGTCTCGATCTTAATTAGGCATCGCTATGTCAATCTATCAGCTTAATATTCAATATCTTGCCAATCTTTCCTGTCAAATAATACTTTTTAGGGATACTTTTCAGACAATCTCAATCGATTGTTCACTCTGCAGCACATTTCCCGGAAAACTTTGTAATGGCCATAATATTGCATAAGGATATTGGCTGTTTTCTTCTGAATTCAAAAAATATCTAGGACAGTCTTTCATAAAATAAATGGAACTAATTACTTAGACTTCATAATTACTTCAATGGATTCTAGAAATTCACTTCTATTGACTTGCACCTTGACTATAAACTAATTGGATTGTAACTTAGTCAAAAGTCTCCCTGAAAGTGTGCCGCATTCGCGAAAGAAATTATATTCACTTACAATTGCTGGATAAATTGAGAATGCCCGAATCGTCAGCGTCTGAAAGTCCAGTTTCGTCCATCTTTTGCATCTTTGTCGGTGGCGGAGCTACGAGATCGGCAATCGAGGAGAATTCCATGCGCTTCTTCACCGGCGTCCCACCGCCGTACGAGTTGGCCGGGCTGTAAAACTTCTTGGCGGACAGATCCGTGGCAGCGAGTGGCGAGGACGCTGGCGGCGTCCGGATGGGTTGCGCTGAGGGCGACGGAACAGCGGATATGGCCAAATCCACAGCGCTGAAGTTATACTTGGTGGGATTCGGTGGCATGAGTGGACTGTTGCCGCGACTGGAGGAAGAGGAGGCCGACGATTTGGACGGTGTCGCCGTGAGCAGGCGCTCCGGAATGGGAGACATTGATGGTGGAATGCTGAGTATGTCCGGCGTCTTTGATGTGGCCGCTGAAGATGTGGATGACGATGCCGACGTGCTCTTCGGTGGCTTCATCATCATGGCACTCAGAGCTTCTTGCTGCATCTTCAGCAGCGCCGCCGAGGGACTCATGTACATGTTATTAGCTGCCAGGGTGCTCTTGGACAGCGGATCCGGCAATCCAGGGTACTTCATATGCTGATAGAGAGCGGCCAAATCTTGTTCTTGCTGCCTCTGCTCTTGTTGCCTCTGCTCCTGCTTCTGACGCCTGGATGACGAGGCCGTGGATGTGGTCGCCGTGGCGGAGATGTTGGGATACAGAGACATGGCATCAGACTTCCCAGTGCCCATCGGCGTGGAGAAGTAACTGGAGAGATTGGGCAGATTGCCCATCTTACCGCCACTGCCATTGCTAGCGGGGAATAACAGTGAGTTGATATCATTCATCTTCCCAGCTTGCAGCAGCGTTCCCAACATGTCATTCGTGGGCATGGAGTTGCTTGAGCCCTTCTTGCTAGAACTTCCTGCGCCCAGAACTGGTGCAAACAGAGCCGAAAAGTCCGCCATTGAGGGCAATTGTGGCAAACTTGAGAGACTATTCGCCGCATTCGTCGATGGCATGGACACTGGTGTGATTGTCGTCAAATCCGGCAACTTACTCCCATAGAAGCTGCTCAGATCCGCCGCAGCCTTCCTGCTGGCCGCCGAACTCGAGGACATCGACGTTACCGGCGGCGTGACTGTCTGCTGTAGGAATTGCGAAAAGTCCGGCTGTTTTCCTGCTCCGGCTGTGGCAAAGAAGCTGCTCAAGTCCGGAATCTTGCTAGTCGCCTGAAGCAGAGTGCTGAGATCCGCCATTGAGGGCATCTGAGGTGTTGATGCCTGGCTATGAGCCTTGGAGCGGGACTTCTTGCCAGATGTAGTCGTTGTGGGCGCTGGAGCTGGATTGAATCCCAACGCTCCAGATTGCTGCAGCAAGAGCGATGCATATTCCGTGGACTTCATGAAATCTGCCAGTTGTCTATTCGCTTCTGCCGCCCTCAGGGATTCATAGCCAGCCGCCAAACGCTGTTGCTGCTGCTGTTGACTCTTGCTCGACGCCGGAATGGCCTGTGAATCGATGTATTTGCTCGTTCTTGCCGACTGTCCCGATCTGGAGGACTTACTGTTGCTCCTCGAAGACGTTGTGGATGTTGTGGAAGTTTTAGTCTCCTGCCTAGACGGTGTCATTCCCATCATGGGATTGTATTGCGACTGCATCATGTAGTTGAGATCATTCTTGTTGAATTGCGTCATCAAGTCCTTGAGATTGCTGTTGCTCCTCGAGTTGCTCGAGCCTTTTCCATTTCCCAGAGCAGCGGCTGCTGCAGCCGCAGCCGCCATGGAGTAGTAATCATTGGCCATTTTCACTGGTGTCTGTTGGAAGAGAGCTGCATAGTCATTCGTAAGCAATCCAGGAGGCAGAGTCTTGGCCAATTGAGCCAGACTCGCGGCAAACAATTCATTCATGTTAGCAGCAGCCGCTGCCGGTCCTCCGCCATCGTATTTCAATGAACTCGTGCCAGGCGGCGGATTGTCATGCCTCAGAGAAGCGGTGGGAGCAGAATGAGTTGGCACCGGAGGCGCTTGTTGATTATTAGGCGTTCGACATGGACTGTTCCTCAGCACGTCATTCACATTGAACTTGGCCGGACTCTGAGCCGGCGAGTTTCTCGTCCTGGACGACGAGGCGTCAGACTTGGCGGGCGACGGACTCGCCCTGATGGGAATCTCAAATTTGGCCGGACTGGCGGAACTCGATGGGATGGTAATTGGACTGTCGCGTGGCGAAGAGTTGGTATTCGTTGCTGAACTGGCGTTACTGGACATGTTGCTGTTAGTCGCAACATGTGGAATCACCAACGCCGTGGCGAGCGCCGATGGATTCATGTTTAGGCCACTGGGCAAATTCAATTGCTCCTGCAGGCTGGATATTTGCGACAAGAGCGGCGTCTGCTTATCATCAAGCTTGGCATTCCCCTTCGCATCCATCTCAGTCTTATCTGTAGCATTCAGAGACACCTCCTCCTCCTTCATCTCCTCCGTCTTCCCGTCTTCGTGAGAATTCTTCTCATCATCCTTCGCCTTGTTCTCCGCCTCTCGTCGCATTAGCATTTCTGTGTGCTTCTCCAGCATCTGATCAATCACCGTTTTCGGCACAGCAAACTCCTCTTCCTCCTCGAGACCCACATTCTTTCTCACCCAATTCCAGAACTCTCGGTTTTCCTGCTTCCGCGCAAACTTGGGATACAGCGTCACCTTCATCTTCTCAATGTACGTCACATCATCCCGATAGATATCACCGAAGCGCACCAATTCATTGTCAAACTGCTTGTAGTACTCAACGCACTGCAGCATCTCACTCTTCACCTCCTCCGCCAGCTCTTCGTCCTGCATCACCGAGTAGGTCATCTGCATAGGACGTCCATACTCCGTCAGCTTGTTCTCCGGCGGCGGCACGACCCAGTACATCATCAGAGATGACTCCATGGCGGGATTGTCTTCGTTGTAGGGCGCTGCAGAAGCAAACATCATTAGGGACACACCGAAATACCAATCATACGAATAACTTACAGCAAATTATGCCAATTATAGGAGCGTAAGTGGCATCTGTGGGGCCCCTCATGCGAATCTCATAGTCCATCTGCGCGTCACAGTCTCGCAAAGTGGGCTGAGCTCCACATTTTGGGTGCGAATGATACCAGCCGACGAGACTCACATTCTTCTCCAGCATCATCTTCTGTATGCTAATCTCCACATCGCCAGACTTTTCCCGGTCATGCCTGGAGTTTCGGCACGGAAATGTGTGTGTGATGTAGAGACGCTGCGCCTGAGGATCCCAGGAGCCGCCCAAGTAGCCACACACCTCTCGACTGGTCAAGTGACAGTGGAAGTCCAGCAGCAGCACAGCGGACGTGGCCACAGAGACCATGAAGGGCTGCGGTCGTCCAAGGAGAGAAAACGGAGCCACTTCCACAAGAGTATTGCCATCGCTGAAAGCCGCGCAAAGCGAATTAGGCCAAATTCTTGGCTAAAAAAAATCCCATGAACTTACTGTGCGATATTTCGATCACTTATTGTATTGAATGAAACTGGGATTCTCTTTATCGGCTCAGGAGCTTCCTCTTTCTTCTCCGGTTCCGCTTCGGCATCTAGGAGGGCGGATAGCGAAAAATCTATTGAATTATCCGTGAATTAATTATCAATATGGCAATACAGCTTGACACAATTATTATTTATTGAGAGAGATATTTGCCCTTCAATGCAAAATGATAGAGACGCTCATTCACGCTCTATTCATGACAATCAATTGCTGGAAATGAATTTAGAGGCTTTGATCCAAATAATTGCTCGCTATAGTTTATTTTACGCACTACCAATTATTTTCAATATTAAATTAGCGTGACAAATTATAACTGTAATTTCCCTATTCCTGATTCCCTATTAACCCTTTAGAGGCACATAAGGAAAATCATAACCTTGTCAGCGTTAAAGGATTAAGTAGGATAAGTGCAATATCTTGTGAAATATACACTTAACTTCTTGACGCGTTGAAAGTATTGACAATATTTTTCTGCTCAAATTATTCGCATGAATGCTCACATTCACCTTACGTGTTCACATTTCGTGTCATGCCTGATAATTTTTATAAACACACTCATAATTACATAAATAAATAAACGCGCCCAGGGACAATAAATGCTCCTCATCTCTACGTCCCAATCTTAAAATATCACACTTTCTTTCACCTTTCCAGAAATACAGAGACCAATACCAATAAACATGACAAAGAGGCGCGACTACCAGCATGAATTATGCCCAAAGTGTATTAATAACAGGCATTTTCCCATTTAATGACACTCTCGCAACTGAATTGAGTTTCATCTTCCTGAAAGGTCACATGACATGTTTATACTCGGAATATATTCACTATTGACTGCGATTATCCAATTAAACGCTCCAAAGAAGAACAATTGGAATTGGATTTCTCCAAATTACGACGTAATCTCCTCGAATTGTGAGGCCCACAGTTAATGAAACTTATGTCTTTCGACTCTTCCGCAAGATGAGAAACAAAGAACAACGGAACTCACCTCCAGACGGCGACGTGCCTCTGTTTAATTGACATTTCCTCACCCACGCCGCCTTGTAAGCGTCCAGCTTCTTGCCCTTATACTTGACTGAGGCCCATCCGCATCCCGATTTCTTATCCGGATTTATGATCCGCTTGCAGTGAATCGCCCAGGCACTCGGCGAGCAGAACACCGTCTCCGTTTCCTGGGACTTTATTTTGCCGTCCGGCAGCAGATCGCCCACGAATTTTTGACCCTACGACAGAGCACACCGTCAGTTTCTGGACTCAAAAATACTCCGCATAGCACTCAGATCACTCACCAGATACTCAATGGTCATAGCGGACTTCCCGGGCTGCAAAATCTTGGCGGCAAGCAGCATCTGAAGTGTGACCGTGCGTCCCAGAACGGCTCCATTGCTGTTGCTAAATGGCACAAGTGAGCGCGTCTCGCCTTCCTTCTGCAACAAAAGATGCGGTTAGCGTGGCCTTCGCTGGGTCTCCCCGGGATTTTGCACACAAAAAATGCCATCTAACCTCGTTCTCCTCGCCAATATCACTATCGAGGTGTTTTTCGGCGTCCTTTTCCGTCTCCTCATCACCTTTCGTCGACATCCCTCTCGCTCGCTGTGCGACACTCACCTCTTGACGATTGATTTTCAACAATGTCCTATATTATTTCATTCATAAATCATTCGGGTTCTGCGAGTGTACAAAAAATGCCCCACACTATTGTTTTTGTTGTTGTAATGTGCCGGAACAATTGATGGTCATTTTCTCAGCCACAATCGTGCGCTGCCGCACTGAACCACGCAACAAACACTGCCACGACCACGCACGATGGGACTTCACGCACAATTTTCCAGATTTTTGCCCTATTTCGGGGTCAAAAATGCGTTTTTATGGACACTGACGGAGAACGCTTTTTATTATTTTGACATCTTTGACATTTTGCCCGGGTGACCAGATGGACCGTCGCTGAAAATCTGCAGGTTTTCGGCGCGGCGTTCCGGATGTCAGTGCCTCATAACCTCACATTTGCATTGTTTTTATCGCAGGAGTTTTGACGCGGCTGAGTAAGTGCGGAAAACGGGTGAAAAATGCTGCCGGAGAACATAGATCAGCAAGTTGCGACGCTGGAGAAACAAGAATTGGAAGTATGTGCATCAATTTTGGATGTTGCCTTGGGATTTCGTGTGATAATTATGGATTTTTTGTAGGCCCCCAATGGAGTGGCTTCGCTGCAGCTGTACACCGAGCTTTTTGCTGCTTATCTGTACAAAAATGAGCTGTAAGAGTCCTTTCCTTATCCCGTATTGTTCACTGCAATGCCACTGATAATTGTTTTTCTGTGCAGGAGCCAAGCGAGGTTTCTCTGGAAGCGAATCCCGCAGAATATCAAAGGTGGAAACGCGGAGCTGGAGCGATTGTTCACAGTTTTGCAGTGTTTGTGGTCAAACAAAAATGTTGAATTCTACAAAGCCATCACATACGATTGGTCAAAGGCAATAGCCAAGCTCATGGCAGAGTTGAAAGAGAAGGTACAGATGGAGACGATAAATCTCATCGGACGAGCGTATAGTTCAATCTTCGAGAATGTATTCGCGGACATGACTAATCACAGTCCGGAAGTTGTCACGGAAACATGCAAGAGTCTCAACTGGGAGATCATAGAAGGCCCCTTTCCGCGCCTCATCATACCCAAGAAGCCGCCAGTGGAGAAGCTGGTCTTCACCAGCTGTGAAGATCAGTTGCAAAAGCTCACGGACTTTGTCTCTTTCCTGGAAAACTAATTGAAGAAGCTGGAGAATCGTTGCGAGAATACATAAGACATTATTCACAAAAGTGTAAGTCTTTTCATTTTCTTTTATTCTCTGTTCGCATTAATAAGAAACACAAAGAACTGTCTTCACGTTTTGTTAATCACGTTCCCAAAAATGTGCCTAAACCCCAGTAAAGCGTCCAAATTCTTATACGTAATTAAAATAAAAGAGACCGAGCATTCGAAAGAATTAGAAAAATATTCGCAATACAAATACAACCCAAATTTCGAGGGGCTTTGCAGCAGGGAAAAGAAAATGATCATTGATTCGTTCGCCTCGAAATTATGGCATCACGGTGAGGATTTATCGTGGTCGCGCTCGTCTCAGGGGCTCATTGTCGCTCTGGCGGTTCCGCGAAGGCACAAATGATCATAATAATGGGGCGACGAGGCAGCCCGAGTGCGCACCGTGGGGAAACCATCAATTTGCGCTGAGTTGCGCCAAGAGCGGGAGGACGCGCGTGTAATTCCTCACATCCACACAAATTTGTCTTGCTCCCTCTCCCGCTGCCGCCGACTTCCGAGGCGCTGTGGTGGTGTGGGGAGTCGCAGTGTCAGTCGGGGGCCCACACCACGGGTTCTCCGCATCTCGTGCCGGAGAGAGTCTTTGGAACGGATTCACCCACGCCTTTCCCTGGGGGAGGACTTCTCGCTAAATTTATATGCCAAGTGTGAAACTCTGGCACGATTTTCACTGCAGCATTCACAAATTTTTTCTTCCTCACATTTTCCGGTGAAAAGGCGCAGTTTTTTCTGCTGCAAATTGCTTTAAACAGCTTCGATTCAGGGTGTATTTTTACCAATTTTATCACGATCGTGTCTCAGTTGTTTATCGACTAATTTTGACCTTCACTTCAAAAGATATTCCATTCTTGATGCTTTTTAAAAATTAGTTAAAATTTGACTCAGAATAAAGCACAAATATAGAATAAAACTGCAATTGAACTCAATTTTCAATGGATAATAAGAATTCTTATAGCAAAATTCTCAAACTTAATCTGCCACAATTCAAATTGTTCAACTGAGAACAAGTGCCTTATCACAAAACAGTGATTTTCATTCTTAGGGCAATTAATTTTGGCTGATTAATGGCTTGGGCAAGCCCTTTAAATTAGTTTTGACATCAAAATATGCAAATTACACGCTCTTACACATTTATTCTGGAGAGCATCGCAACCGCGAGATCTTAGAGGTGAATGCGCATCTGCTATAAATTTGCGAAAAGGATCGCTCAATTACGCCGCTCATGACAGAGGACGTGTTTGAGATGTTCAGGGTAATAATGGCGATTGAGTTATGCACTTGCAAATTGAAGAGACACAAGTAGAAGAGAAAAAAAATATAGGGATGAAAAGAAGATTTTGGAGGTCCAGATTTTTGTGATAGAATTGCATTGTAATTATACTATCATTCGTGGAGGTCAAGAATCTCTCTCTTGCGCATTCAGAATTGCGGTGCTGCTGCTCTTTTTGCTAATGAGTTTATTATCATGTAATTGGTCAGGAATAAAAATGCAGTCGCGCAGCAAAAAAGGGTATGTCAGAATGTTAACAAGGCAAAAAGTGAGTCTGAAGTACTTGATGGGCCCTGATATATAGCTATCGCTATCATTCTCACTCCGTGGATCGCTGCAATTTTCGCTTCCTCGAGTGTGGTGTGAAATTTTGGCGTTTTTGCGAAATGCTGTCAGGCTTGCGATGCAAAACTGTGTGGCTGGAAGCTGCACATCTCGGGAATTCGCGTGTTCCGCGGCGGCATGGCTCAAAAAGATTGCCATTCTTGGGCGAGATGGGGGCCAAATTGGTGGCCATCGCTAATGATATTGGATGGGCCGAAATGCAATTGGCGAGGAGGCCAATTTGGAGACGCGCGGTGTCGTCGTGGGCTCGAACCGCCCGCTCGAGAAGGCTTGTTAGTGAGCGGCATCGCCAGAGAACACGCCGCACACCCAATAATTAGGCTGAGATGCTGTGCCGAGGCTCATCCATTACGGTCCATTAGGGCCTTTGATTGCTATTTAATAATTCAGCGGCTGGCAGAAGGATATCAAGTGGCGGGGTGTTTCGTGTCTTTTTCAATATACTTAACTTGCGCGAGGCGGTTTGCATGGATTAGTTTCTGTCGTGGAGCTCACTTCCACAGAACATGACCAATTACCTGATTCCAGATTCACTGGCCAGAGTAAAGAATTTCACAGGTTCAGTGGATAGATTGTAGATTCACTTGGCGGATCGAGTGAAATTCATTAGTTATTTGCAAAATACATAGAAAGAAATCCTAGAATTTTGTAAAATGATTTTTTCCGTGTCACATTGTGGAAATTATTCTCTGTTTTACAAATATCGTGCAAAAAATTCTTCTTACCTCTGGATAAATAAAAAGAATGCGAATGGACTGATAATACCACTAATTTAGTCAATGAAAGTGAGAGCGATCTTCGGGATGCTTCTGTTCCAATTGAGAAAAAAAATATTGAAAAAGAGTGAAGTGATTTCCCTTTTACAGACTTTTATTCTCATTTTCCCTAATATGCACCCTGCAATTCACTTTTCGACCGAGATGTGCCTCAAGTGCCGGGCGAGTGGAGCAATTCATAACGAGGATCGTTTACATGAAATTACATCGAAAATTGTCGATGAACCTCATAATCGGGCGACATTGACTGTGATTGACAAAATTGGCAAATTTGTACACTAAGTAGCCCCATAATAATGATGGCAAACGATGTGATCGCCTCCGGTGTAATTCTTCACTCGCGAGATGCTCATTTGCACAAGTTTTCACTTCTTTTTTGGGCCGACCATCCATGGCACTCGGGAAGTGGTGAGAAAAACAGAGGATGGAAAGAAGTGTGAGATAAGATTTAATTATTCAGGCGATACGTCTTCGAATAATTAATCAAATCACATCAAGTTCAATTTGGGCAAAGTGGCAGCTCAGAAGTTGGCTGCTATACATGCAATCTGGGGGGACTTTTTCATGGTGTGGAGGCAATTCCGAGAGGGTGTCACTATGGACTCCGACAAATACGCTATTTCGCCCACCCCTTGACGCCTCATTGCTATCCATTACTCCCCATGGAAACGCAGGAGACTCCCGGAGGGTTAACCAGCTGTCTTCGAGTTTCTATTTCTTCATTAGTTAATTCGTCTGACCCCAAATTGTTCGCTTTGAGCACTAGAATTGACACTTACAACTACCAAAACTCCCCAGAAAATGTATGTATAATCATTTTTCAGCGCATCTTGTGACCCTTGAATAAATATGCAAAGGATTCACTCTGATCACTGTTGAGGGCTGTAATCTCTTCGCGCAAAAGGGAGAGAAACCCCCGGTCGCATATTTTATGTGTGTTCTTTTTTTCTGTTTGGGAATTACCGCAGATGGAAATGTGTTCCAGTCCATCACGTTCAAATCAGAGAGTGCGAGAGAGAGACGGGAGCGAGAGAAATAAAAAAGGAATTATCCATCCGTCCACCTTTGTCGTGTTCGTTGTCGTCAATTCCACCCCCGCATCGGACGAAATTGAGGGAGAAATTCTTCGTCTTGCCCCGTCGTCAATGGGTTGCCGTCGATATTGAGTGGAGCGGTGTGTGAACGTGAGAGACGACGACACGTTCACGATGCGCATAAAGCACGCCCAAACCCCAATGGAAGCCCGTTGGGGCCAACGAGTTCGCCTGCTAGAGGGAATTTGCTGGATTCGAGGCACACGAAGTGTGTTGTTAGTCGAGCACACGATCCAGTTTCCCATCCGAGGGGTGATAAACTATACATTATCCGCCCTGTGATAAGTCGGCATTGATAAGCTTAGGCTTCGGTTTATATCATGGGGAAAATTTCTCTTCTTGACCTACGGAAAAAATACAATATTAGTATATAAATTTTTTAGGATGACCTAGTAATATCAAAAACTTCCTTTTGGTTTAAAACGAGGTTGAAAATAACCATAAATTATTATTTTTGTTTTTTTTTTATCTTTACTCAAATGATTTTATTCATAACACAGATACATTGGACAGTTTTTTCGCAGCTTCCAGTTCTCCACGTGCGCAAGACGCGAATTCTAGGAGAGCCAAAAAAAAGCTCCAGACCCTTTAAATCATGTCTGAAATGTCTCAGTTAGGAAACTAATGAAGAGTGACAGTTTGTGGCAGAAATTCGCCCCTCGACTGCCGGCACACACGCTTCCCATCCCCAAGGACACACCCAACTTTCTCTCGAGCTGCCTCTGGGGCCCCACAGGGTTTGTGCAATTTGTGTCTCGACACTCCTACGGCCTCGCCCCCTCCCCGGCCCGGCTTCTGACCAAATTGTCAGCAGCAAGGGAGGTCATCCTCGTCTCCGACGGCTCCGCTCCCGGAGTGGCATGTCGAGGATGTTTTATGGATGTGTGGCCGTATTATACGCTGTAGACACTCTTCATACACCCGAAATGCTGCCATATCGCAAGGGGAGCGTGGGCGGGCGGCCGAGTGCTTTGCGCCAGATGAAAAAGGGACGAAAGGTCCTGAACCCGTCTGAAGGGTCAGATTAAAAATCCACCACGAGGGACAAATCGGGATGCCTTTGTCGCACGCAGAGCGGAGAGAGGCGTGCTGAAGCTATTACGGCCTCGGGGGAAAAATGTACTGGCAAAATAATTAAAAGTTTATCAAAATCGAACAATCAGCTTTGACGGAGGGGTGAATAAATTTAACTCCATTGGCAAATGAATTGTAGAGAGATGCTGAGAAGTTTTCAGGAGGAGCACAAATTGGGGTTGGGTGGAAATTTGTCATCAGAATAAGGGATTTTCGTGTGTGCGATTGAGGAGAATTTTCATAATTAAAACATAAATTCAAATTCAAACAGAGAGAGGTCAATGGAATTCATAGAAGATGCTGCTTTGTGGGATAAAGGATTTAATTTTCTAGCGAAATGACGATGAATGCAATACAAGGAGAGATTGGAGAGTATTAATTTTATTTAATGATCCTAATCTGTTGAATTTCTTTATCTCCCAACTCCTGTGATGATTTGCTGAATGGAAATTGCAATCTGATCAATTATGTATACACTCGGCGAATCACTGAGAGCAGTACAATTGTGCTTAAAGTCGATAGGAGTGTCCAATTCACCCAGGAAGTGGCAACAATTGCAATCAACCGCCCACAATCCTGAGATGCTTCTG